GTATCTCAAACTGTGACGTCAAAGTCAAGGTCCAAAGATGGTGTGCGCACCTGTCTTTGGTCATTTCCCATTATAATGAATGGGAGGCACAGTTTCTACCAAAACGCTCGCTGCAGACAAACTACATGTCCTATTTGAAAAAACTCTGGACCATGAGTGAGGGCACAAACACAGCTAGGACATATCCAAATGGCAAGTTGCTCCTCCTTTTGGTTTTAGCGGGAGAGCAATGCGTTTGAGCCATTAAGCGATGGGCTGGAAAAACTTGACTTTTTCTCCTGCCATGGGGGGGGGGGGGGGCGCTCTTTTGGGGAGAAATAATTCCTTCACAGATGTGTTGATGGCTGCACATTGCATCATCCTAGAAAACTTGGAGGCCAGTGAGGACAAAAATAACTAGGGCCCCGTTGGGGCACTGGCGGGCCCGAGCCGTGTCGCGCCACCCCCAGCGCGACCGCCTACCCCTCCCGATCGCGTCACACTCAAGGTCCAAAGATGGTGTGCGCACTTGTCTGTGGTCATTTACCATTATAATGAATGGGAGGCGCAGTTTCTACCAAAACGCTCGCTGCAGACAAACTCCATGTCCTTTTTGAATAAAGTCTGGACCATGAGTGAGGGCACAAACACAGCTAGTATATATCCAAATGGCAAGTTGCTCCTCCTTTCGGTTTTGCCGAGAGAGCGATGCGTTTGAGCCATTGAGCGATGGGGAGGAAAAACTTGACTTTTTCTCCTGCCATGGGGGGCGCTCTTTTGGCGAGTAAAAATTCCTTCACAAATGTGTTGATGGCTGGACATTGCATCATCCTAGAGAACTTGGAGGCCAGTGAGGACAAAAATAAAAAGTTATAAGACTTTTAAGACTGTGGATTTTTGGGTTATCTTTGGCGCCCCCTAGAACGTAAACCGTGGGGTGCAGCGTCATGATTTGTACAACTTTTAATGGCCATGGGGTGTAGATTGGCCTGAGCAAATGTGGTGCCGTTGGAACGAAAGCCTTCGGAGGAGTTAGCGAAATTCCAATGTGTGCGGATCGGCAAAAAATGCGAAATAACCCTTTAACCGTACATTTGACAGATACGCCCGCACTGACTTTTTTGTAGATCTTATTGAGATACATGTGTGTGTCAAATTTTGTGTCATTTTGACAAAGCGTAAAGGCGTGACAGTCAACAATGTGTATTTTCGCCTTAGGAGACAAGAAAAAATGGACTTTTTTCTCCTGCCATGGGGGGCGCTCTTTTGGCGAGTAAAAATTCCTTCACAAATGTGTTGATGGCTGGACATTGCATCATCCTAGAGAACTTGGAGGCCAGTGAGGACAAAAATAAAAAGTTATAAGACTTTTAAGACTGTGGATTTTTGGGTTATCTTTGGCGCCCCCTAGAACGTAAACCGTGGGGTGCAGCGTCATGATTTGTACAACTTTTAATGGCCATGGGGTGTAGATTGGCCTGAGCAAATGTGGTGCCGGTGGAACGAAAGCCTTCGGAGGAGTTAGCGAAATTCCAATGTGTGCGGATCGGCAAAAAAAGCGAAATAGCCCTTTAACCGTACATTTGACAGATACGCCCGCACTGACTTTTTCGTAGATCTTATTGAGATACATGTGTGTGTCAAATTTTGTGTCATTTTGACAAAGCGTACAGGCATCAGGTGAGTTTTCACCATAGGGGGCGCTATGGAGCCATTTTTCATTTTTTTGTTTGGACGACTTCAGAATATCAAATTTTTCACCAGGCCCGGTCGTCCTGCCAAATTTCCTGAGTTTTCGCCAGTGGGAAGTGGGCCATTTTCCAGTTTAAAGCGGAGGAAAAATAACGAAAGAAGAATCCATCAGGAACAAGAGGGCTCTCGCAGCTGCTTAGCAGCTACGCTCGGGCCCTAAAAAGTTATAAGACTTTTAAAAATGTGGATATTTGGGTCATATTTGGCGCCCCCTAGAACCTAAACCGTGGGGTGCAGCGTCATGATTTGTACAACTTTGAATTGCCATGGGGTGTAGATTGGCCTGAGCAAATTTGGTGTCAGTAGAACGAAAGCCTTAGGAGGAGTTAGCCACATTCCAATGTGTGCGAATCGGCAAAAAATGCAAGATAGCCCTTTAACCGTACATTTTAGAGATATGTGCTCATTGACTTTTTCGTAGATCTTATTGAGATACACATGTGTGTCAAATTTTGTGTCAATATGACAAAGCGTATAGGCGTGACACTGAACAATGTGTATTTTCACCTTAGGGGACACGAAAAAATGGCCTTTTTTGTCCTGCCATGGGGGGGGCGCTGTTTTGGGGAGTAAAAATTCCTTCACAAATGTGTTGATGGCTGGACATTGCATCATCCTAGAAAACTTGGAGGCCAATGAGGACAAAAATAAAAAGTTATAAGATTTTTAAGAATGTGGATTTGTGGGTTATCTTTGGCGCCCCCTAGAACGTAAACCGTGGGGTGCAGCGTCATGATTTGTACAACTTTCAATGGCCATGGGGTGTAGATTGGCCTGAGCAAATGTAGTGCTGGTGGAACGAAAGCCTTCGGAGGAGTTAGCGAAATTCCAATGTGTGCGGATCTGCAAAAAATGCGAAATAACCCTTTAACCGTACATTTGACAGATACGCCCGCACTGACTTTTTTGTAGATCTTATTGAGATACATGTGTGTGTCAATTTTTGTGTCAATATGACAAAGCGTACAGGCGTGACAGTCAATAGTGTGAATTTTCACCTTTGGGGGCGCTATTGAGCCATTTTGCATTTTCTTGTTTGGGGGACTTCAGAATATCGAATTTTTCACCAGGCCCGGTCGTCCTGCCAAATTTCATGAGTTTTCGCCAGTGGGAAGTGGGCCATTTTCCAGTTTAAAGCGGAGGAAAAATAATAATAACTAGGGCCCCGGTGGGGCACTGTCGGGCCCGAGCCGCGTCGCGCCGCCCCCAGCGCGACCGCCTCCCCCTCCCGATCGCGTCACACTCAAGGTCCAAAGATGGTGTGCGCACTTGTCTGTGGTCATTTCCCATTATAATGAATGGGAGGCGCAGTTTCTACCAAGACACTCGCTGCAGACAAAGTTCATGTCCTATTTGAAAAAAGTCTGGACCATGAGTGAGGGCACAAACACAGCTAGGATATATCCAAATTGCAGGTTGCTCCTCCTTACGGTGTTGCCTGGAGAGCGATGCGATTGAGCCATTGAGCGATGGGCAGGAAAAACTTGACTTTTTCTCCTGCCATGGGGGATGGGGGGATGTGGATTCTTTTAAGAATGTGGATATTTGGGTCATCTTTGGCGCCCCCTAGAACGTAAACCGTGGGGTGCAGCGTCATGATTTTTACAACTTTGAATGGTCATGGGGTGTAGATTGGCCTGAGCAAATTTGGTGTCAGTGGGACGAAAGCCTTAGGAGGAGTTAGCCACATTCCAATGTGTGCGAATCGGCAAAAAATGCAAAATAGCCCTCTAACCGTACATTTTAGAGATACGCGTGCATTGACTTTTTCGTAGATCTTATTGAGATACACGTGATTGTCAAATTTTGTGTCAATATGACAAAGCGTACAGGTGTCACACTCAACAATGTGAATTTTCACCTTACGGGACAAGAAAAAATTGACTTTTTTCTCCTGCCATGGGGGGGCGCTCTTTTGGGGAGTAAAAATTCCTTCACAAATGTGTTGATGGCTGGACATTGCATCATCCTAGAAAACTTGGAGGCCAGTGAGGACAAAAATAAAAAGTTATAACACTTTTAAGAATATGGATATTTGGGTCATCTTTGGCGCCCCCTAGAACGTAAACCGTGGGGTGCAGCGTCATGATTTTTACAACTTTGAATGGCCATGGGGTGTAGATTAGCCTGAGCAAATTTGGTGTCAGTGGGACGAAAGCTGTAGGGCGAGTTAGCCACATTGCAATGTGTGCGAATCAGCAAAAAATGCAAAATAGCCCTTTAACCGTACATTTGACAGATACGCCCGCATTGACTTTTTCGTAGATATTATTGAGATACACCTGTGTGCCAAATTTTGTGTCATTTTGACAAAGTGTAGAGGCGTGACACTCAACAATGTGTATTTTCACCTTAGGGGACAAGAAAAAATGGACTTTTTTCTCCTGCCATGGGGGGGCGCTCTTTTGGGGAGTAAAAATTCCTTCACAAATGTGTTGATGGCTGGACATTGCATCATCCTAGAAAACTTGGAGGCCAGTGAGGACAAAAATAAAAAGTTATAAGACTTTTAAATATGTGGATTTTAGGGTTATCTTTGGCGCCCCCTAGAACCTAAACCGTGGGTTGCAGCGTCATGATTTGAATAACTTTTAATGGCCATGGGGTGTAGATTGGCCTGAGCAAATGTGGTGCCGGTGGAACAAAAGCCTTCGGAGGAGTTAGCGAAATTCCAATGTGTACGGATCGCCAAAAAATGCGAAATAGCCCTTTAACCGTACATTTGACAGATACGCCCGCATTGACTTTTTCGTAGATCTTATTGAGATACACGTGTGTGTCAAATTTTTTGTCAATATGACAAAGCGTACAGGCGTGAATCTCAACAATGTGTATTTTCACCTTAGGGGACAAGAAAAAATTGACTTTTCTGTCCTGCCATGGGGGGGGCGCTCTTTTGGGGAGTAAAAATTCCTTCACAAATGTGTTGATGGCTGGACATTGCATCATCCTAGAAAACTTGGAGGCCAGTGAGGACAAAAATAAAAAGTTATAAGACTTTGAAATATGTGGATTTTAGGGTTATCTTTGGCGCCCCCTAGAACCTAAACCGTGGGGTGCAGCATCATGATTTGAATAACTTTTAATGGCCATGGGGTGTAGATTGGCCTGAGCAAATGTGGTGCCGGTGGAACAAAAGCCTTCGGAGGAGTTAGCGAAATTCCAATGTGTACGGATCGGCAAAAAATGCGAAATAGCCCTTTAACCGTACATTTGACAGATACGCCCGCACTGACTTTTTTGTAGATCTTATTGAGATACATATGTGTGTCAAATTTTGTGTCATTTTGACAAAGCGTACAGGCGTGACAGTCAATTGTGTGAATTTCCACCTTAGGGGGCGCTATGGAGCCATTTTGCATTTTATTGTTTGGGCGACTTCAGAATATCAAATTTTTCACCAGGCCCGGTCGTCCTGCCAAATTTCATGAGTTTTCGCCAGTGGGAAGTGGGCTATTTTCCAGTTTAAAGGGGAGGAAAAATAATAATAATAACAAAAGAAGGAAACATGCAGGAACTAGGGCCCCGTTGGGGCACTGGCGGGCCCGAGCTGTGTTGCGCCCCCCCCCCCCCCCCCAACGCGCTGCCTCCCCGTCCCATTCGCGTCCTCTGGCCATCGTCCTCTCTGGTAACGCCCATCACTGCAAAGACCCTTTTCCTTCATCGGCGTTTGCTGTTCTTCCTGCCAGTGCGTGTGGCTTTCACTTGCACTTGCCACAGCCAGCCTCGTGAGTGCCTAGCCTATTGGATATCACTGTCACCTACACAGGACAGTCATTACCTTTCTATTAATACTTTGTTTTTTAATTTCACATTAATTTCCATATTGTCTAAACGACTGGAAAAAACTTGAGCCCCTGCCCCTGTATAATCATGTGCACGTCCCTGTTCTAGCTCCAAGGTGAATCTTGACTGCTCATGTTCTCCTCAGAAGCAGTCACCTCACTCCCCTCAGGTTACTGTACACATGCACCAACTGCCTGCTTCAGGTTTGGATGGAGCTTCATGGTTGTCTTTTGGAGAAATGAGCAGTCAAGTTGTGTTTGAAATTTCATTTTTTTCAGGGGCAAAAGGAAGTCTCTGCATTGTTTTCAAATATGTAAATAGCATGTTTTTGCAGGTGCTGAAAAACAGACTCTGAGTGTGTATGTGTGTGTGTGTGTGTGTGTGTGTGTGTGTGTGTGTGTGTGTGTGTGTGTGTGTGCGTGTGTGTGTGTGTCTGTGTGTGTGTGTGTCTGTGTGTGTGTATCCTGCAGTACTCTGTACTCCTGCAGTGGCCAAAACGACTTTTAAGAATGTGGATATTTGGGTCATCTTTGGCGCCCCCTAGAACGTAAACCATGGGGTGCAGCGGCATGATTTTTACAACTTTGAATGGGCATGGGGTGTAGATTTCCCTGAGCAAATTTGGTATCGGTGGGACGAAAGCCTTAGGAGGAGATAGCCACATTCCAATGTGTGCTAATCGGCAAAAAATGCGAAATAGCCCTTTAACCGTACATTATACAGATACGCGCTTTTTGACTTTTTCGTAGATCTAATTGAGATACACATGATTGTCAATTTTTGTGTCAATATGACAAAGCGTTCAGGCGTGACACTCAACAATGTGTATTTTCATGTAAGGGGACAAGAAAAAATTGACTTTTTTCTCCTGCCATGGGGGGGCGCTCTTTTGGGGAGTAAAAATTCCTTCACAAATGTGTTGATGGCTGGACATTGCATCATCCTAGAAAACTTGGAGGGCAGTGAGGACAAAAATAAAAAGTTATAAGACTTTTAAGAATGTGGATTTTGGGTTATCTTTGGCGCCCCCTAGAACGTAAACCGTGGGGTGCAGCGTCATGATTTGTACAACTTTTAATGGCCATGGGGGGTAGATTGGCCTGCGCAAATGTGGTGCCGGTCGAACGAAAGCCTTCGGAGGAGTTAGCGAAATTCCAATGTGTGCAGATCTGCAAAAAATGCAAAATAACCCATTAACCGTACATTTGACAGATACGCCCGCACTGACTTTTTTGTAGATCTTATTGAGATACATGTGTGTGTCAATTTTTGTGTCAATATGACAAAGCGTACAGCCGTCATGTGAATTTTCACCTTAGGGGGCGCTATGGAGCCATTTTGCATTTTATTGTTTGGGCAACTTCAGAATATCGAATTTTTCACCAGGCCCGGTCGTCCTGCCAAATTTCCTGAGTTTTCGCCAGTGGGAAGTGGGCCATTTTCCAGTTTAAAGCGGAGGAAAAATAATAACGAAAGAAGGAAACATGCAGGAACAAGAGGGCTCTCGCAGCTGCTTAGCAGCTACGCTCGGGCCCTAACAAGAGGGCTCTCGCAGCTGCTTAGCAGCTACGCTCGGGCCCTAACAAAGACTAGGGCCCCGGTGGGGCACTGGCGGGCCCGAGCCATGTTGTGCCGCCCCCAGCGCGACGCCCCCCCCCCTTCCGATCGCGGCACACTCAAGGTCCAAAGATGGTGTGCGCACTTGTCTGTGGTCATTTACCATTATAATGAATGGGAGGCGCAGTTTCTACCAAAACGCTCGCTGCAGAAAAACTCCATGTCTTATTTGAAAAAAGTCTGGACCATGAGTGAGGGCACAAACACAGCTAGGATATATCCAAATGGCAAGTTGCTCCTCCTTTTGGTTTTGCCGAGAGGGCGATGCGTTTAAGCCATTGAGCGATGGGCAGGAAAAACTTGACTTTTCCTCCGGCCATGGGGGGGCGAACTTTTGGGGAGTAAAAATTCCTTCACAATTGTGTTGATGGCTGAACATTGCATTATCCTAGAAAACTTGGAGGCCAGTGAGGACAAAAATAAAAAGTTATAAGACTTTTGAAAATGGGGATTTTTGGGTTATCTTTGGCGCCCCCTTGAACGTAAACCGTGGGGTGCAGCATCATGATTTTTACAACTTTGAATGGCCATGGGGTGTAGATTGGCCTGAGCAAATTTGGTGCCCATGGGACGAAAGCTTTAGGAGGAGTTAGCGAAATTCCAATGTGTGCGGATCGGCAAAAAATGCAAAATAGCCCTTTAACCGTACATTTGACAGATACGCGCGCATTGACTTTTTCATAAATCTTTTTGAGATACACGTGATTGTCAAATTTTGTGTCAATATGACAAAGCGTACAGGCGTGAATCTCAACAATATGTATTTTCACCTTAGGGGACAAGAAAAAATGGACTTTTTTCTCCTGCCATGGGGGGGGGCGCTCTTTTGGGGAGTAAAAATTCCTTCACAAATGAGTTGATGGCTGGACATTGCATCATCCTAGAAAACTTGGAGGCCAGTGAGGACAAAAATAAAAAGTTATAAGACTTTTAAATATGTGGATTTTAGGGTTATCTTTGGCGCCCCCTAGAACCTAAACCGTGGGGTGCAGCGTCATGATTTGAATAACTTTTTATGGCCATGGGGTGTAATTTGGCCTGAGCAAATGTGGTGCCGGTGGAACGCCAGCCTTCGGAGGAGTTAGCGAAATTCCAATGTGTGCGTATCGGCAAAAAATGCGGAATAACCCTTTAACCGTACATTTGACAGATACGCGCCCATTGACTTTTTTGTAGATCTTATTGAGATACATGTGTGTGTCAATTTTTGTGTCATTTTGCCAAAGCGTACAGGCGTGACACTCAACAATGTGTATTTTCACCTTAGGGGACAAGAAAAAATGGATTTTTTTCTCCTGCCATGGGGGGGCGCTCTTTTGGGGAGTAAAAATTCCTTCACAAATGTGTTGATGGCTGGACATTGCATCATCCTAGAAAACTTGGAGGCCAGTGAGGACAAAAATAAAAAGATATAAGACTTTGAAATATGTGGATTTTAGGGTTATCTTTGGCGCCCCCTAGAACCTAAACCGTGGGGTGCAGCATCATGATTTGAATAACTTTTAATGGCCATGGGGTGTAGATTGGCCTGAGCAAATGTGGTGCCGGTGGAACGAAAGCCTTCGGAGGAGTTAGCGAAATTCCAATGTGTGCGGATCGGCAAAAAATGCGGAATAACCCTTTAACCGTACATTTGACAGATACGCCCGCACTGACTTTTTTGTAGATCTTATTGCGTTACATGTGTGTGTCAATTTTTGTGTCATTTTGACAAAGCATAGAGGCGTGACAGTCAATAGTGTTAATTTTCACCTTAGGGGGCGCTATGGAGCCATTTTGCATTTTATTGTTTGGACGACTTCAGAATATCAAATTTTTCACCAGGCCCGGTCGTCCTGCCAAATTTCATGAGTTTTCGCCAGTGGGAAGTGGGCCATTTTCCAGTTCAAAGGGGAGGAAAAAGAAGAAAGAAAGAAGAACTAGGGCCCCGTTGGGGCACTGGCGGGCCCGAGCCGTGTCGCGCTGCCCCCCCCAACGCGCTGCCTCCCCGTCCCATTCGCGTCCTCTGGCCATCGTCCTCTCTGGTAACGCCCATCACTGCAAAGACCCTTTCCTTCATCGGCGTTTGCTGTTCTTCCTGCCAGTGCGTGTTGCTTTCACTTACACTTGCCACAGCCAGCCTCGTGAGTGCCTAGCCTATTGGATATCACTGTCATCTACACAGGACAGTCATAACCTTTCTATTAATACTTTGTTTTTTAATTTCACATTAATTTCCATATTGTATAAATGACTGGAAAAAACTTGAGCCCCTGCCCCTGTATAATCATGTGCACGTCCCTGTTCTAGCTCCAAGGTGAATCTTCACTGCTCATGTTCTCCTCAGAAATAGTCACCTCACTCCCCTCAGGTTACTGTACACATGCACCAACTATCTGCTTCAGGTTTGGATGGAGCTTCATGGTTGTCTTTTGGAGAAATTAACAGTCAAGTTGTGTTTGAAATTTGATTTTTTCAGGGGCAAAAGGAAGCCTCTGCATTCTTGTCAAATATGTAAACAGCATGTTTTTGCAGGTGCTAAAAAACAGACTCTGTGTGTGTGTGTGTGTGTGTGTGTGTGTGTGTGTGTGTGTGTGTGTGTGTGTGTGTGTGTGTTGGCGTGTGTGTATATGTGTGTGTATCCTGCAGTACTCTGTACTCCTGCAGTGGCCAAAAAGACTTTTAAGAATGTGGATTTTTGGGTCATCTTTGGCGCCCCCTAGAACTGCAGTACTCTGTACTCCTGCAGTGGCCAAAATAACTTTTAAGAATGTGGATTTTTGGGTCATCTTTGGCGCCCCCTAGAACGTAAACCGTGGGGTGCAGCGTCATGATTTTTACAACTTTGAATGGGCATGGGGTGTAGATTGCCCTGAGCAAATTTGGTATCAGTGGGACGAAAGCCTTAGGAGGAGATAGCCACATTCCAATGTGTGCGAATCGGCAAAAAATGCAAAATAGCCCTTTTACCGTACATTATACAGATACGCGCTCTTTGACTTTTTTGTAGATCTAATTGAGATACACATGATTGTCAATTTTTGTGTCATTTTGCCAAAGCGTACAGGCGTGACAGTCAACAATGTGTATTTTCACCTTAGGGGACAAGAAAAAATGGACTTTTTTCTCCTGCCATGGGGGGGCGCTCTTTTAGGGAGTAAAAATTCCTTCACAAATGTGTTGATGGCTGGACATTGCATCATCCTAGAAAACTTGGAGGCCAGTGAGGACAAAAATAAAAAGTTATAAGACTTTTAAAAATGTGGATTTTTGGGTTATCTTTGGCGCCCCCTAGAACGTAAACCGTGGGGTGCAGCGTCATGATTTGAATAACTTTTAATGGCCATGGGGTGTAATTTGGCCTGAGCAAATGTGGTGCCGGTGGAACGAAAGCCTTCGGAGGAGTTAGCGAAATTCCAATGTGTGCGAATCGGCAAAAAATGCGGAATAACCCTTTAACCGTACATTTGACAGATATGCGCGCATTGACTTTTTCGTAGATCTTATTGAGATACATGTGTGTGTCAATTTTTGTGTCATTTTGACAAAGCGTACAGGTGTGACACTCAACAATGTGTATTTTCACCTTAGGGGACAAGAAAAAATGGACTTTTTTCTCCTGCCATGGGGGGGCGCTCTTTTGGGGAGTAAAAATTCCTTCACAAATGTGTTGATGGCTGGACATTGCATCATCCTAGAAAACTTGGAGGCCAGTGAGGGCAAAAATAAAAAGTTATAAGACTTTTAAATATGTGGATTTTAGGGTTATCTTTGGCGCCCCCTAGAACCTAAACCGTGGGGTGCAGCGTCATGATTTGAATAACTTTTAATGGCCATGGGGTGTAGATTGGCCTGAGCAAATGTGGTGCCGGTGGAACGAAAGCCTTCGGAGGAGTTAGCGAAATTCCAATGTGTGCGGATCGGCAAAAAATGTGAAATAACCCTTTATCCGTACATTTTACAGATACGCCCGCACTGACTTTTTTGTAGATCTTATTGAGATACATGTGTGTGTCAAATTTTGTGTCAATATGACAAAGCGTACAGGCGTGACAGTCAATAGTGTGAATTTTCACCTTAGGGGGCGCTATGGAGCCATTTTGCATTTTCTTGTTTGGGCGACTTCGGAATATCAAATTTTTCACCAGGCCCGGTCGTCCTGCCAAATTTCATGAGTTTTCGCCAGTGGGAAGTGGGCCATTTTCCAGTTCAAAGGGGAGGAAAAATAATAATAATAACAAAAGAAGGAAACATGCAGGAACAAGAGGGCTCTCGCAGCTGCTTAGCAGCTACGCTCGGGCCCTAACTAGGACCCCGTTGGGGCACTGGCGGGCCCGAGCTGTGTCGCGTCCCCCCCCCAACGCGCTGCCTCCCCGTCCCATTTGTGTCCTCTGGCCATCGCCCTCTTTGGTAACGCCCATCACTGCAAAGACCCTTTTCCTTCATCGGCGTTTGCTGTTCTTCCTGCCAGTGCGTGTTGCTTTCACTTACACTTGCCACAGCCAGCCTCGTGAGTGCCTAGCCTATTGGATATCACTGTCACCTACACAGGACAGTCATTACCTTTCTATTAATACTTTGTTTTTTAATTTCACATTAATTTCCAAATTGTATAAACGACTGGAAAAAACTTGAGCCCCTGCCCCTGTATAATCATGTGCACGTCTCTGTTCTAGCTCTAAGGTAAATCTTCACTGCTCATGTTCTCCTCAGAAGCAGTCACCTCACTCCCCTCAGGTTACTGTACACATGCACCAACTGCCTGCTTCAGGTTTGGATGGAGCTTCATGGTTGTCTTTTGGAGAAATGAGCAGTCAAGTTGTGTTTGAAATTTGATTTTTTTCAGGGGCAAAAGGAGCCTCTGCATTCTTGTCAAATATGTAAATAGCATGTTTTTGCAGGTGCTACAAACCAGACTCTGAGTGTGTGTGTGTGCGTGTGTGTGTGTGTCTGTGTGTGTGTGTGTGTGTGCGTTCAAGTCACATGACATATTTAACCGGATGTAGCTGCAAGACGGAGCCTCGTTGACTCTCCGTTTCAATTTATCTCAAAAGTGAGGACCTCAACCTATATACCAGTTTTTAAATTGTGTTGATAGGCCAAATAAAACCAGAGTTATGATAAATTATGTCCGCGATACTTGTTTTCTGCTTATTTTGATCACGTTCGGCGCTCGATCGCGCTGTATGAGACAGGAAAACATAGTATGCAGACATTAGCGACAGGTCTTACAGGCGGAAAAGGCTTGCCAAAGGAAAAAAAATACACACCACAACATCTCTCCTATTGGTGGAAAACTTCACCACAACAACCAATCCAAAATTATATGGTGACTGATTGACAAGGGGCGGGAACTTACGTTCTTCCTGCAACATGAGAAGGGAGGGAGGGACTCTCAGCAGGGATGCAGTCTGGGACACGTAGTTGCAAACCTAGCAACTTTGTTGTTAGATTCAATGACTTTTCAGACCCCCTAACGACTTTTTTTTAGAAAGAAAGTGACTTTTATCGACTTCTTCTGGAGTTTAGAGACTCTGACATGAAGCAGGCTTTCCTTACTGAGGAGTTAGCAACGCTGCTAAGGGTGCAGAGCCACACATGCGCTCCGAGCTCTGCATGGGAGACTGAAGCTGACAGAGCTGCAGCAGTTAGCAGGTTTCACCCTCAGAGACCACCAGGGGTTCATGTTGAGGCATTTTCAGTTTTTTTTTTTTTTTTTGCCATAGACACTGTCAGCACAATCTGCAGTTACACTAACAAAAATGCTGCAAAAAACAAAGAATTATGGAAAAATTACACATGGACTAACATAGAGGAGGATCTACACAAGTTTTTTACATCATGTTTTACATCATGCATCATTTACATCATGTTTTTTTGTAGTGGCATAAATAAAAAGTGACATTTGTGAGACTATACAGTGTTTTGTAAATAATTTTACAAAGAACACCTGGGCCATTGCCTGCATTTTGATGTAAATAGAGGTAAATTACTATGTTCTTTGTTAAAAATTTGCATATGTTTTGAAGTTTACAATTTTTATTTGAAGTTTAAGTTTTAAAAACAGTTCATCACACATATTTGTGGTTTTCACAGTAAAAACGTTACTTTTTTCCACTCGGATTTTATGTTTTGTGTGTGAATTTGGGTCCAATGTGTAAATATAGTATGTCAAAATGATAAAATAACTGTAAATTGACACAGGTGAGGTTGTGCTGAAAAAAATGATACCAGGCAAGGCAAGGTAAAAATCTTGTAAGAGGAAATATAAAGGTAAAATCTAAAGTAGTCAAAAACGGCCAATAGTGACTCACAGACTCCACAGACAAGTCCCTTTGGCGCCACTCAGTGGGCAAAACTACTTTGTCTACTGTAATGTATATTTGGGTCATCTTTGGCGCCCCCTAAAACGTAAACCGTGGGGTGCAGCGTCATGATTTTTACAACTTTGAATGGCCATGGAGTGTAGATTGGCCTGAGCAAATTTGGTGTCAGTGGGACGAAAGCCTTAGGAGGAGTTAGCGAAATTCCAATGTGTGCGAATCGGCAAAAAATGCAAAATAGCCCTTTTACCGTACATTATACAGATACGCGCTCTTTGACTTTTTCGTAGATCTAATTGAGATACATATGATTGTCAATTTTTGTGTCATTTTGCCAAAGCGTACAGGCGTGACAGTCAACAATGTGTATTTTCACCTTAGGGGACAAGAAAAAATGGACTTTTTTCTCCTGCCATGGGGGGGCGCTCTTTTAGGGAGTAAAAATTCCTTCACAAATGTGTTGATGGCTGGACATTGCATCATCCTAGAAAACTTGGAGGCCAGTGAGGACAAAAATAAAAAGTTATAAGACTTTTAAAAATGTGGATTTTTGGGTTATCTTTGGCGCCCCCTAGAACGTAAACCGTGGGGTGCAGCGTCATGATTTGAATAACTTTTAATGGCCATGGGGTGTAGATTGGCCTGAGCAAATGTGGTGCCGGTGGAACGAAAGCCTTCGGAGGAGTTAGCGAAATTCCAATGTGTGCGGATCGGCAAAAAATGCGAAATAACCCTTTAACCGTACATTAGACAGATACGCGCGCACGGACTTTTTTGTAGATCTTATTGAGATACATGTGTGTGTCAATTTTTGTGTCATTTTGACAAAGCGTACAGGCGTGACAGTCAATAGTGTGAATTTTCACCTTAGGGGACAAGAAAAAATTGACTTTTTTCTCCTGCCATGGGGGGGCGCTCTTTTGGGGAGTAAAAATTCCTTCACAAATGTGTTGATGGCTGGACATTGCATCATCCTAGAAAACTTGGAGGCCAGTGAGGGCAAAAATAAAAAGTTATAAGACTTTTAAATATGTGGATTTTAGGGTTATCTTTGGCGCCCCCTAGAACCTAAACCGTGGGGTGCAGCGTCATGATTTGAATAACTTTTAATGGCCATGGGGTGTAGATTGGCCTGAGCAAATGTGGTGCCGGTGGAACGAAAGCCTTCGGAGGAGTTAGCGAAATTCCAATGTGTGCGGATCGGCAAAAAATGCGAAATAACCCTTTAACCGTACATTTGACAGATACGCCCGCACTGACTTTTTTGTAGATCTTATTGAGATACATGTGTGTGTCAATTTTTGTGTCATTTTGACAAAGCGTAGAGGCGTGACAGTCAATAGTGTGAATTTTCACCTTAGGGGGCGCTATGGAGCCATTTTGCATTTTCTTGTTTGGGCGACTTCGGAATATCAAATTTTTCACCAGGCCCGGTCGTCCTGCCAAATTTCATGAGTTTTCGCCAGTGGGAAGTGGGCCATTTTCCAGTTCAAAGGGGAGGAAAAAGAAAAAACTAGGGCCCCGTTGGGGCACTGGCGGGCCCGAGCCGTGTCACGCCACCCCCAGCGCGACCGCCTCCCCCACCCGATCGCGTCACACTCAAGGTCCAAAGATGGTGTGCGCACTTGTTTGTGGTCATTTACCATTATAATGAACGGGAGGCGCAGTTTCTACCAAAACGCTCGCTGCAGAAAAACTCCATGTCCTATTTGAAAAAAGTCTGGACCATGAGTGAGGGCACAAACACAGCTAAGATATATCCAAATGGCAAGTTGCTCCTCCTTTCGCTTTTGCCGAGAGAGCAGTGCGTTTGAGCCATTGAATGATGAACAGGAAAAACTTGACTTTATTCTCCTGCCATGGGGGGGCGCTCTTTTAACGAGAAAAAACTCCTTCACAAATGTGTTGATGGCTGGACATTGCATCATCCTAGAAAACATGGAGGCCAGTGAGGACAAAAATAAAAAGTTATAAGACTTTTAAATATGTGGATTTTAGGGTTATCTTTGGCGCCCCCTAGAACCTAAACCGTGGGGTGCAGCGTCATGATTTGAATAACTTTTAATGGCCATGGGGTGTAGATTGGCCTGAGCAAATGTGGTGCCGGTGGAACGAAAGCCTTCAAAAGGAGTTAGCGAAATTCCAATGTGTGCGAATCTGCAAAAAATGCGAAATAACCCTTTAACCGTACATTTTACAGATACGTGGCCATTGACTTTTTCGAAGATCTTATTGAAAGACACGTGTATGTAAAATTTTGTGTCAATACGACAAAACATACAGGCGTAGCACTCAACAATGTGTATTTTCACCTTAGTGGACAAGAAAAAATGGACTTTTTTCTCCTGCCATGGGGGGCGCTCTTTTGGCGAGTAAAAATTCCTTCACAAATGTGTTGATGGCTGGACATTGCATCATCCTAGAAAACTTGGAGGCCAGTTGGGACAAAAATAAAAAGTTATAAGACTTTTAAATATGTGGATTTTACGGTTATCTTTGGCGCCCCCTAGAACCTAAACCGTGGGGTGCAGCGTCATGATTTGAATAACTTTTAATGGCCATGGGGTGTAGATTGGCCTGAGAAAATGTGGTGCCGGTGGAACGAAAGCCTTCGGAGGAGTTAGCGAAATTCCAATGTGTGCGGATCGGCAAAAAATGCGGAATAACCTTTTAACCGTACATTTGACAGATACGTGCGCATTGACTTTTTTGTAGATCTTATTGAGATACATGTGTGTGTCAATTTTGGTGTCATTTTGCCAAAGCGTACAGGTGTTACACTCAACAATGTGTATTTTCACCTTAGGGGACAAGAAAAAATGGACTTTTTTCTCCTGCCATGGGGGGGCGCTCTTTTGGGGAGTAAAAATTCCTTCACAAATGTGTTGATGGCTGGACATTGCATCATCCTAGAAAACTTGGAGGCCAGTGAGGGCAAAAATAAAAAGTTATAAGACTTTTAAATATGTGGATCTTAGGGTTATCTTTGGCGCCCCCTAGAACCTAAACCGTGGGGTGCAGCGTCATGATTTGAATAACTTTTAATGGCCATGGGGTGTAGATTGGCCTGAGCAAATGTGGTGCCGGTGGAACGAAAGCCTTCGGAGGAGTTAGCGAAATTCCAATGTGTGCGGATCTGCAAAAAATGCGAAATAACCCTTTAACCGTACATTTGACAGATACGCCCGCACTGACTTTTTTGTAGATCTTATTGAGATACATGTGTGTGTCAATTTTTGTGTCATTTTGACAAAGCGTACAGGCGTGACAGTCAATAGTGTGAATTTTCACCTTAGGGGGCGCTATGGAGCCATTTTGCATTTTCTTGTTTGGGCGACTTCGGAATATCAAATTTTTCACCAGGCCCGGTCGTCCTGCCAAATTTCATGAGTTTTCGCCAGTGGGAAGTGGGCCATTTTCCAGTTCAAAGGGGAGGAAAAATAATAATAATAATAACAAACTAGGACCCCGTTGGGGCACTGGCGGGCCCGAGCTGTGTCGCGTCCCCCCCCCAACGCGCTGCCTCCCCGTCCCATTTGTGTCCTCTGGCCATCGCCCTCTCTGGTAACGCCCATCACTGCAAAGACCCTTTTCCTTCATCGGCGTTTGCTGTTCTTCCTGCCAGTGCGTGTTGCTTTCACTTACACTTGCCACAGCCAGCCTCGTGAGTGCCTAGCCTATTGGATATCACTGTCACCTACACAGGACAGTCATTACCTTTCTATTAATACTTTGTTTTTTAATTTCACATTAATTTCCATATTGTATAAACAACTGGAAAAAACTTGAGCCCCTGCCCCTGTATAATCATGTGCACATCTCTGTTCTAGCTCTAAGGTGAATCTTCACTGCTCATGTTCTCCTCAGAAGCAGTCACCTCACTCCCCTCAGGTTACTGTACACATGCACCAACTGCCTGCTTCAGGTTTGGATGGAGCTTCATGGTTGTCTTTTGGAGAAATGACCAGTCAAGTTGTGTTTGAAATTTGATTTTTTTCAGGGGCAAAAGGAGCCTCTGCATTCTTGTCAAATATGTAAATAGCATGTTTTTGCAGGTGCTAAAAACCAGACTCTGAGTGTGTGTGTGTGCGTGTGTGTGTGTGTCTGTGTGTGTGTGTGTGTGTGTGTGTGCGTTCAAGTCACATGACATATTTAACCGGATGTAGCTGCAAGACGGAGCCTCGTTGACTCTCCGTTTCAACTTATCTCAAAAGTGAGGACCTCAACCTATATACCAGTTTTTAAATTGTGTTGATAGGCCAAATAAAACCAGAGTTATGATAAATTATGTCCGCGATACTTGTTTTCTGCTTATTTTGATCACGTTCGGCGCTCGATCGCGCTGTATGAGACAGGAAAACATAGCATGCAGACATTAGCGACAGGTCTTACAGGCGGAAAAGGCTTGCCAAAGGAAAAAAAAAAACACACCACAACATCTCTCCTATTGGTGGAAAACTTCACCACAACAACCAATCCAAAATTATATGGTGACTGATTGACAAGGGGCGGGCGCTTACGTTCTTCCTGCAATATGAGAAGGGAGGGAGGGACTCTCAGCAGGGATGCAGTCTGGGACATGTAGTTGCAAACCTAGCGACTTTGTTGTTAGATTCAATGACTTTTCAGACCCCCTAACGACTTTTTTTAGAAAGAAAGGGACTTTTATCGACTTCTTCTGGAGTTTAGAGACTCTGACATGAAGCAGGCTTTCCTTACTGAGGAGTTAGCAACGCTGCTAAGGGTGCAGAGCCACACATGCGCTCCGAGCTCTGCATGGGAGACTGAAGCTGACAGAGCTGCAGCAGTTAGCAGGTTTCACCCTCAGAGACCACCAGGGGTTCATGTTGAGGCATTTTCAGTTTTTTTTTTTTTTTTGCCATAGACACTGTCAGCACAATCTGCAGTTACACTAACAAAAATGCTGCAAAAAACAAAGAATTATGGAAAAATTACACATGGACTAACATAGAGGAGGATCTACACAAGTTTTTTACATCATGTTTTACATCATGCATCATTTACATCATGTTTTTTTGTAGTGGCATAAATAAAAAGTGACGTTTGTGAGACTATACAGTGTTTTGTAAATAATTTTACAAAGAACACCTGGGCCATTGCCTGCATTTTGATGTAAATAGAGGTAAATTACTATGTTCTTTGTTAAAAATTTGCATATGTTTTGAAGTTTACAATTTTTATTTGAAGTTTAAGTTTTAAAAACAGTTCATCACACATATTTGTGGTTTTCACAGTAAAAACGTTACTTTTTTCCACTCGGATTTTATGTTTTGTGTGTGAATTTGGGTCCAATGTGTAAATATAGTATGTCAAAATGATAAAATAACTGTAAATTGACACAGGTGAGGTTGTGCTGAAAAAAATGATACCAGGCAAGGCAAGGTAAAAATCTTGTAAGAGGAAATATAAAGGTAAAATCTAAAGTAGTCAAAAACGGCCAATAGTGACTCACAGACTCCACAGACAAGTCCCTTTGGCGCCACTCAGTGGGCAAAACTACTTTGTCTACTGTAATGTATATTTGGGTCATCTTTGGCGCCCCCTAAAACGTAAACCGTGGGGTGCAGCGTCATGATTTTTACAACTTTGAATGGCCATGGAGTGTAGATTGGCCTGAGCAAATTTGGTGTCAGTGGGATGAAAGCCTTAGGAGGAGTTAGCGAAATTCCAATGTGTGCGAATCGGCAAAAAATGCAAAATAGCCCTTTTACCGTACATTATACAGATACGCGCTCTTTGACTTTTTCGTAGATCTAATTGAGATACACATGATTGTCAATTTTTGTGTCATTTTGCCAAAGCGTACAGGCGTGACAGTCAACAATGTGTATTTTCACCTTAGGGGACAAGAAAAAATGGACTTTTTTCTCCTGCCATGGGGGGGCGCTCTTTTAGGGAGTAAAAATTCCTTCACAAATGTGTTGATGGCTGGACATTGCATCATCCTAGAAAACTTGGAGGCCAGTGAGGACAAAAATAAAAAGTTATAAGACTTTGAAATATGTGGATTTTAGGGTTATCTTTGGCGCCCCCTAGAACCTAAACCGTGGGGTGCAGCGTCATGATTTGAATAACTTTTAATGGCCATGGGGTGTAGATTGGCCTGAGCAAATGTGGTGCCGGTGGAACGAAAGCCTTCGGAGGAGTTAGCAAAATTCCAATGTGTGCGGATCTGCAAAAAATGCAAAATAGCCCTTTTACCGTACATTATACAGATACGCGCTCTTTGACTTTTTCGTAGATCTAATTGAGATACACATGATTGTCAATTTTTGTGTCATTTTGCCAAAGCGTACAGGCGTGACAGTCAACAATGTGTATTTTCACCTTAGGGGACAAGAAAAAATGGACTTTTTTCTCCTGCCATGGGGGGGGCGCTCTTTTAGGGAGTAAAAATTCCTTCACAAATGTGTTGATGGCTGGACATTGCATCATCCTAGAAAACTTGGAGGCCAGTGAGGACAAAAATAAAAAGTTATAAGACTTTGAAATATGTGGATTTTAGGGTCATCTTTGGCGCCCCCT